AGCCTGCTTCTCCCTCTCCCACTCCCCCTGCTTGTGTTCCCTCTCTCGCTGTCTGTCAAATAAATAAATAAAATCTTTAAAAAAAAAAAACATTTCAGTGTAACTAAAAGCAAACATACACATCTGCAGCAGACCAAACTTCCTTACACAAGAAGTACAACTGCCTACACATACTCAGAAAAAGCTCCTTAACACCATTAAGCACTAAGAAAGTGGTCAAGAAAAACACTGTAGCTTTAGTCCAGGTTAGTACCAGAACATGGCTCCCCAGGGCTTCCTGTGAATTTTTCCTTAATTGCCTATGTGACGGTGAGATTCATCGTTTTTTTCTCTCTTTTTTTTTTTAGAGGGGGAGAAGCAGAGGGAAAGGGAGATGGGGAGAGAGAATCCCAAGCAGGCTCCATGCCTGCAGAGAGCCCGACTTGGAGCTCCATCTCACAACCCTGCGATCATCACCTAAGTCAAAATCAAGAGACACTTAACTGAATGAGCCACCCAGATGCCTGGGTGGTAAGATTCTTAATGCCTGCCTTTCCTCAGAAGATGCCCGACTAAATAATAAAACTGAACAGTTTCAATGAAGTTGTTGGGCTAGGAAAGAAGGCAAGAAGGGGTATAAGAAAAGGAGTATGTGAACTGAATGAACAAAATCACCTCCATTTGTTATGCAACTCTTAAGCTTTAAAACTATTTGTTAAACTACCCACTACCCAATATAATACACAGCTATAAAATGCAAGGTTTCATTAATTACCCGAGGGATCATTTCCGGTTGTCTGATCCTGAATTTTTCCTTGTCTCTTAAAAAAAAAAGAAAGAAAAGTGAACATATTTAATTATTTTTCACTGTTTCTCAATGACATACTTGGCATTTCACGACTGACTCACTCAGATATGTACACTGAACTCTGCTTCAATTTCATTTGTAAGCCCTCAGGAGGGAAATACTTTCTACCTCTTACCTCAGTAATGCCCAATGTCTGCCTTAAGCTTTCCACCCTCACCAGCATTATTCTCAGACCTCTGAGCTGGAACATCACAAAGGCTTCTAACTGGTCTCTTTACTCACAGTTCTGCTGCTGCATTTATCTTCAAAAACCGTGCACTCTAAATCAAAACCACCTGGAAGTTCTGCATGCACTCAGCCTGTGTGTGTGGACAGTAGCCTACAGTTCACCAGGGCTGACTATCCTTCATTACCCAGCTTCTCCCTCCCTCATTTTCCATCATGCCCATTCACGTATTTGCTCTAAAGCTGAACAAATCAGTTTCCCATACATTTGCATCTAACCCATCCTTCAAGGCCTATTACACAAATATCCTTCATGAATTTTCCTGATCCAGATTTCCCTTCCCATCCCCAGCCAGAAGTCATTTCTCCTTATGGGCTTCCCAACAGGACTGGATCCTGCCTTCTACAGTACTCATCAACTTCTCATTGGTAATGCCCATATCTCACCTTCCCTGTTAAGACTATAAACTCGTATCAGGCATTACTCATTTATGATTCACCTATGTGTGGCCCCCAAAAACGAACTATTCTGTATGCAAACTATCTTGTAGATAATAGGATAAATAGCAAGTGAAAAAAGAGCAGACATCCACAGTATAAAGTTAAAACAACAACAAAAAAAGCAGCTGGTATTATGCATCCACATCAAAATCTCTTCCGGGGTCATAATCTTTTCTGGGTTGTACTAGCTTGATCTTGGAGAAGCATCCAATTAATGCTGCACACCCACCACTATTAATAATTTGAGCATTATTTCCCCACCAAACATTAATACAATACTCACTTCTTTTTGTAGGTTTTTTCGTAAGTAGGATGCACCAAATCCTCATCTTCAGGTTCTTCTGGAACATCACAATTTCTAGTCAGAAAAATCACATGGGAATAACACGTCACCAGCGCCTATTCATATATCTTGAACAGTACTTTCTGCCTTTCCAAAAAGGGTACTACCAACTATATGGTACCTGAACTGTGGGTCAGGGTTATTGGAGCAATACCATTTTTCTGGAAGTTGATCTATCCCATCTGGTAATTTTCGCCACTTTAGACAGGAATCACATTGAACCCATGTCTGATCAGGACGTTTCCTGTAACAAAACAACATAATATTAGTATGAAAATACGGATGCAAAGTACACTTCATTAGATCTTCTACATCATTTCTACCACAAAATGCCTTTATTATTTAATTCTGTTCCTGAAATGCCTGTGACATAATTATTGTTGTACAGCAAGTTAAATTTTTAAAAACAATTTTGGTTACCTTCAAAAGGTTAAAGCTAACAGGCCAATTTAAACAGAGACTTAAATGTCTTGTTTAATAGCATACTACTCAATTTGTTCTCTAGTAATAAAAATTCAAACTTAAGATTCCAAACGCCTTGCTCTGAAATTTATATTAAGTTAGCATTCGCAATGTCCAATCTAGTATATTTATTAGCTCAAGTACAGAAAACAGACAAGCTGTTATTACTATAATTTAAGCATTTTTAATAATTCTATTACATTTTAGCCTCTACCATAAGCATATCTCTGAATATCTAAAACTTGTATATTCTTTTAGTTTATAAAATGCTTTAGTTTTATCATTTGAAAATTACAATGATCCTATGAAGAATTTAGGTATTCATTTAACATTTCACTTAACAATTATTAACAATTCACTGAACATATGAATAACGCCAATAACTTTTTATATCTAAATTTTTAAAAATGCATTTGCATAGTTACATAAACTTGAAACAATCCAAAAATTTGTTTATTTTTAGAGAGGGGGGAGGAGCAGAAGGAGAGGGAACGAGAGAATCCCAAGCGGGCTCCATACCCAGTGCAGAGCATGACGCAGGGTTCTGTCTCACCACCCTGAGATCATGACCTAAGCCGAAATCAAGAGTTGGAGGGTCGGGGCGCCTGGGTGGCTCAGTTGGTTAAGCGACTGCCTTCGGCTCAGGTCATGATCCTGGAATCCCTGGATCGAGTCCCGCATCGGGCTCCCTGCTCGGCAGGGAGCCTGCTTCTCCCTCTGACCCTCCCCCCTCTCATGTGCTCTCTCTCTCTCTCATTCTCTCTGTCTCAAATAAATAAATAAAATCTTTAAAAAAAAAAAAGAGTTGGAGGGTCAAAGTCGGATGTGCTCCAGAAATTCATGAAGTAAATACAAACCCCTTGTTTCAGGAGCTTACCACTGTTCATTTTTTTAAACCCTGGTAGAATTTTCTATGCTTGCAGAATTATGCATGTGTATATGGACACCTTAAAAAAATAAAGTGGGGTGCTCGCTTCGGCAGCACATATACTAAAAAAATAAAATGGGAAATTAATACATTGAACTGCATTTTTTTTTTTTTTTAAGATTTTATTTATTTGACAGAGAGAGACACAGTGAGAAAGGGAACACAAGCAGGGGGAATGGGAGAGGGAGAAGCAGGCTTCCCGTGGAGCAGGGAGCCCAACGCGGGGCTTGATCCCAGGACTCTGGGATCATGACCCGAGCCGAAAGCAGACGCTTAACAACTGAGCCACCCAGGCGCCCCTGAATTGCATCTTTTCTGTTCCTCATTATACATCTTGGTCATCTTTCCATCAGTACACAGTTATTATTCATTCATTCACAGAATTGGTTCTGTATGCTATCCTGTTACTGAATGCTTGTTAGGCATAGTTTTTAAATCTTGTAACTCTGGGAGGTGCTACTAATGTTCCCATTTTACAAGTAAAAAAAAAAAAAAGGAAGCTTATAAAAGGCCAAGTAACATGTTCAATGTCACATCATTATTTAAGCAGAACTAAAATCTAAATTCAGGTCTGGCTTTAGACTCATGATCCTATTACACAAGACCAGAGTTTTTCAAAGTATGAGATACAACCCATTAGTGGATCATGAAATCAATTTAATGGGTCGACTTACATTTTTTAAAAGAAATAAGTATCAGCATGCAATGAATGTATGGATAAATACTGCTTCATGAATCTTTTGTGTGTATGTATAAATGTATACATTCACTGACTCATTTCATGGTGTGCTCACTGGAGTTGTACAATTTACTTCTTCCTCTGGCTTAGTTCAAAGTTTGTGTACCATCCCTATACGCTCCAACATCACATCTTGATATTAGAGTGGGTTGATATTTTTTATTGTACTTACTGAATATCTTCAACTGGCAAATTTAGAGGATATTCTGCATTTTTCTTCACTTTCATTTCATTCCAGTAATCATTCAGCTTTTCTCCTAACGCTGCTATTGTCAGCCTAAAAAAGCAAATCAAAATCAATTTAAGAAAAAAAAAGATAAAGCTTAAATCTTTGTCAAACACAGAAAAAGCACAAACGACTTAGTAAGGATCATGTGGACACTACAGGGGAGGGGAGGTTGATGACTCCCAAAGGTACAGTTAGTAAAGAATGCTCTAATGGCAATTTTCTACAAGGACACTTTTAAGTTCCCAGAACAGAGCCAGGATCATCTTTGAAGATACAAATAGTAATATTTTGTGTCCTCTGTTGAGAAAGTATGTTGCAGACCAATTAGTGGGAGTACCACAGGCTCTCTGAATTCCAACCCCAACCGATAAATTTATAAGCTTCAATTCATATTAGAGCTCAAACCTTTTTTTAAAGATTTTATTTATTTATTTGACAGAGAGAGAGAGATAGCGAGAGCAGGAACACAAGCAGGGGGAGTGGGAGAGGGAGAAGCAGGCTTCCCGCCAAGCAGGGAGCCCCATGTGGGGCTCGATCCCAGGACCCTGGGATCATGACCTGAGCTGAAGGCAGACGCTTAACGACTGAGCCACCCAGGCACCCCTAGAACTCAAACTTTAAGTTTATAAAAGTATGCTATCATCACCAGCAAGTATATTTCAAAACAGCTTCTGTCCCACAGTTAAGACTGTCACTTCTTCCCCAATAAGATATTAGTAAAAATCAAACCAGTGGGATCTAAGGCCACACTTAAGTAATCATCTGAGTTAAGCACCAACTTTGCCAGAACTATGCACACACAAGGTACGGTCAGTGTAACATTCTAAATTTAAAATAAGGCTTTCAAATGTCAAGACTTCAAATTCTACACTGGCAGATTAATCAGACATTTCTATCCACACCCATTATCTCCCACTAATTTTTTCTCCATTACCACATAACATATAACATGTAAGTGTCCAAATGAGAATGAATCTTCCTTCCCAAACATATCCTCCCTGCATTTCACTTTTTCACGTCTTCTTCATCTCTTCCTCTCATCACCACTATTCCTCAGTCCAAGAGACTGCACCCATTTGTGTTGAGAATATACTGAGGAATGAAACTGCAGGGTCATAGTCATGGGCACTGATGTTTGGTTTTACTTGATAATCTAATAGTTCTCAAAACTGATCGATTTTCATACCCACCAGCCACGTGCAGGGGCTCCAAATGCTCTACATCTTGCCAACATTCTCTGTCTTACTCATTTTAAGTAACTTTTCCATTCTGCCCATTATGATCAATACTTTTTGCACCTTGTTTTAAAAACTTGCTTAACTAAAGGTTTTTAAAATATTCTTGTTCTCATTTTCTGTTTTTGTCTTTCTCATTTAGGTCTAAAATCCATCTGGCATCGATTTTTTGCTTCCTTTGAGGTAGGAGTCATATTGTATGGTTAATTATATTAACCATACAAATAGCCAACTGATCCAGCATTTTTGGAAAGATGATCATTTTCCCACTATAACATGATGTAATCTTTGTCATAAATGAGGTCACCAAACATATAAAAAGTGGGGGGTTATTTCTGACTTCTCTATTTCAACAGACTGCTTATCCTTTAATTAATACCACACTTAAGTTACCGTAGCTTTACAAGTGTTGGTATTTAGTAGGTTAAGTTTTCTTGCTTTGCTGTTCTTTAATGATTGTCTTAACTATCTTGGGTCTTCTGACTTTCCACATAAAGTTTAGAATAAGCCTATTAATAATATCAACACCCAAACTGGCAAGGATTTTTTTTTTAAAAACTGCAATTGTATTTAATTGGGGAAGAACTGACATTTTATAATATACAGCCTTCCAATTCTTGAACCTGGTTTGCCTACTTATTCGGGGCTTAAATTTCACTCCACAATATTTCATAGTTTTCAGTGTATATGCTGCATATTTTATTTACTCCAGAGTACTTGATTTTTTTTTAAACTTCATGAATTTTTTTTAATTTCATGTTCTAGTTTTTAGTTGTTGGTAAACAGAAATACAATTGATTTCTGAATACTTCTTATCCAGCAACCCTAGAAAATATGTATCATTTAATTTATTCCTTTATTAATTCTAAATTTGCATATTATTCTGGACTTACTATATACTTAATACTATCTTGTACAGAAAAGTTTTATTTCTTCCTTTTCACCCTTATAACTTTTACTTCCTTTTCTTTCCTTATTATACTGATTATTTCCTCAAGAACAATGGTGGATAGCAGGAATCCTTATCTCATTTTCACTGTTAAGGGGAAAGCTATTAATAATTCACTATTAGGAATGATGCTTGGTGTTTCTGTAAATGCTCTGTATTGCTAATATGCCCTTCTATTAATGATTTTGTAAGTGTTCCCTTTTTTCCCCTAAATTACAAATGGGCGGGGTGCCTAGGTTGCTCAAGACTTTGGCTCAGGTCACCGTCTCAGGGTCGTAGGACCAAGCCCCACGCCCAGCATGGAGCCTGCTTAAGCTTCTCCCTCTCCCTCTGTCCCACCCTACCCCCACACCCTGCCTCCGCCCCACTCGCTTGTGCGGGTGCTTTCTCTCAAATAAAAAAAAAAAATTACAAATGGGACTTGCAATTTATCAAGTGCTTTTTCTGTACCTATGAAAAGAACCATAAGATTTTTCTTTTCTAACATCAATGTGATGAACTACATTGATTTTTGAATATTAAAATCACGTCATCTTGCAATATAATCCAATTGGTTTTAATGTATTATCCTTTTTGCATATCACTAGAGGGTATTTGCTATTATTTTATTAAAATTTTTATATTTTGATCATGAGACATAAATCCCTTTCTTGTAATGTATTCACATGTTCACTACCAAAATTACATGTCCTCATAAAATCTTAAAGATTGTGTAAGACTGCTGCTACTTCCTTCTTAAATGTTTGAATTTAATATGTGGAAAGTTTTCTAAAAATTGACTCAATTATAAAGGAATGTGCCATATCATCTAAGACGGTAAAAAACCGTTCATGCTATTCCTTTGATGTTTTTGCATCTGTCTCCTTTTTGTTTCTGATAGTGATGATTTGTTTTCTCCTTTCTTTCCCCTTTTATTGCCCCTTTACTAATCTTATCAAAGAACAAACTGGGCTTTTTTGATTTTTTCAGTTATGAACTTATTGTCTCTCAGCTCCACACCCAGTCTTCTTTGCTCAGTTTTGTGATTCTGAAGCTTGATCACGTAAACATTTATCCTTTGGCAGCCTGAGGAATGCTGAACTGGATTAACAGGTCAATGAAACCGCTAGGTGACAGAAGACATGTGTGCCTCAGGTTCTGGTATATATTATTATTATTTGTCTGGAGCCCAGTGGCCCCCAGGAGCTCCATCTGTGCTCTCTAGCCATGCTCTGCTCTCCAGCAGCCTACAACCTCCAGCAAGAGACCAGTTCCAGTGTGCCCACATCCTTGGGCAAAAACAGGTCTCCTCTACAGAACAGCTCCAGCCCACCCACAGCCTCTGGCAACAGCAGGTCACATCTACAGACCAGCACTGGCCAGGCCTTCTTTTTCTGGCAAGAAACTTGGAGGTAGCTTGTTCCTATGTTTGTCATGACTGCTACAAGATCTGAATCTGACTTTAGGGGCAGGGGCCCCTCTCCTAGTTCCTAGTCCTCTTTTTCAACCTTGAGGGAATGTTAGTCTTTTATATCTGCTAGTTCTAGGAACCTTCTCTTTTACCCCTTCTAGTAATCACCCTCTACTATCCTAGTTAATAATTCCTTATATTAAATTATCCCTGTTCAACTAACAGGAGTAGCCTCTGCCTCAGGAGTGAACTCTTGAGTATATACTGATTTTCTGTATTATATGTGATTTCTAATTCATTGATTTGCTCTTACATTTATTATTTATTCTACTTTATTTGTTCTTTATTTGAAAAAAGGGCCTATGACATTATTTTTGTCTTCATCACCAATGTTCACATGCATTTGCATTATGTGCTCATTAAGGAAAGTGTGCCTCCTAAATCTACAAGTGAAACTGATGGTCATATTCATTCTGTGACTTCTAACCACTCTTAAAAGATCGGAGTATTTCTGTCTAATGTACACAGGACTAAATTACCTTCAAGTTCCCATCTAATAAGAACAAAGTTTCAGGATATTACACAGTAAATATTGACACCAAGAAAGCAGAAATACTCTCTATTTTTACTATAAATCTCAGAAATACTTCATCAATAAAGACAGGGGAGAACGAATTTCTACCGGTAATGGAGTAAAATATAATTCCTAGGTTGGGAGAAGATGGCTAAATGTGTTTTCTATGCAAGCCTCTCATCTACCAATTTTCTTAAAGTTCTATAATATAAAAACATCCACAAGACAGAAAAAAAAATTCAGTTTAGGAAAAGAGATGAAAGTATTTCCAAAATAAACTGTAAAAAGTAACTTCAATAGGTAACATACCTGTACTCGTTAGTATAGTCAAAATCTTGTTTATTATGAGTTGGCTTTAGGAAATTACACTCTATAATTCCCACTACTCCAACACCCATATTGTTTGCCTGAAAAAGAAAATGAAATCAGTGTTTCAAGCATAAGACATGATGCTCAAAATAATTACCCTTCCACAAAGATTTATAATTTATATGAACCATTTTCCTACATTTTATGTCATGATTCTTATGAAATTTAGATTGAAAAATAGGGTCTGGGGGCGCCTGGGTGGCTCAGTCATTAAGCGTCTGCCTTCGGCTCAGGGTCTTGGGATTGAGCCCCGCATTGGGCTCCTGCTCAGCGGGAAGCCTGCTTCTCCCTCTCCCACTCCCCCTGCTTGTGTTCCCTCTCTCGCTGTCTCTCTGTCGAATAAATAAATAAAATCTTCAAAAAAAAAAAAAGAAAGAAAGAAAGAAAAATAGTGTCTGGTAGGTGTATTTTACTTTTCTAGAAGTTAATTCCTAAATATATTAGAGCCTTCCTCCAAAACCACTTCCACTGTTGTCAAATAACCATTTAGACAAGTATTATCATCCCCACTTTTATACAAAAGAAAAAAGACCACCTCTACTGAGATACATTTCTTAGATAGTAGAAACCACAACTACCTCCTTTCTATATCCACAGTATCTAGCAAAGACCTTAGCAATGATATTCCAAAAGTTTGCTAGATAAAAATTAAAATCATTTATCCAAAGTTACACATCCAGTTGCTAATGGTGATGAAGTAAAAACCCAGGCCAGTTGAATTCACGTTATTTTTAAAACGCTGCTAGCTAAAATATTCAAAGTATAGGAGTCATATATTCTGATTATATGTGATTAACAAGTGTATTCTGTTCACAATTATAGCTGAGTCTACAAAAGGAAAAAGTGAAAGTGAAAATTTTGAGAAATACAGATGAAACCATGCAGATTTAATCGTAATCCCACTCTATTAAAAACCATCAGTGGTTTCTCATCTCAAACCATTAATAAACCACAATACCCTTCAATTTGTAGTTCCTGTTCACTTTCTTTCCGGCCTCATCTTCTTGTCTCTCTTCCATCACTCTCCTGACTTAGTTGCGTATGCCCCAAGCAGTTAGCTACTCCCTTAATGAAGCCTCTTTCCCCTCCTTTGCAGAGATTTTTCTCTGCCTGGAAAACCCTTGCCAGACTTTTCAACACAGTAACATCAACTGAGACTCATCTCAATCACCACTTTCTCCAAGAAGCTTTTTCTGATTCTTCCAACTTGTACCACATTTTCCCCTCACCAGAACTCTGAGAGCATGCTCTGTATCTTATCATCTTCTTATTCTGAGCATCAAGCACGGCAAATCATACCAGGTATCTGACACTTATTTAGTAACTGTTTATTGAATCCACAGAATGCAAATACTATGCCCAGTCCATCACCTGGTAAAGAAAAACAATGTAAGAGTTGGCTATAAAAGCCTATTTCTAACAAGGTCAACCTTAACCAGAAATTATACACAATGCAAATTTAACTTGGTTGGAAAAATGGGCTGTGTATCTTAAGTAAGATTCATAAATGATATAAGAAAAAAAATATTTTACATTCTGTTGCAGATACATTGTTTCTTTTGAATCCCAAAGCACTTGAGAAACAAGGCTTAATACCAAAAATGCATTTCTAATTTTACCAGTGAAATTCCCTGTAACTTTAATTATAGAATATTTCTGATGAAAATTACTAGTCCAATTATAAATGAAAATTAGCACTTTAAATAAAAGTTATTGACACCTCATACCATGGTTGCCAGATTTCTGTATTTAGTGGTTCTGAAATTAGTGGTTACCAAAAAGAATCCAACAAAGTTTGCTTACTTTTGCGAAAATGCTATATTCTGGGTCATGTAACAGAGTTACAACCCCTATTGAGCAATATTCAAGATAAACCCACACTATTATACTGTGTAGAGCTCACACCATTCTACAAAGAACTTAGAATGAAACAAGATGAATAGAAAATGAAAACCATAAACTTGGAAAACAAGATATGCCTAGACTTAATACCTTTAACAAACTTCATTTTCAGAATTTATCACTGAATTCTTAACACATATACTCCAAAAAAACCTTTCTGTGAAAACATGTAAAGGATGAACAGACTAGCATAGTGGGCAATGTGCATCATCCTAAATTGAATTCTACAACAATGGAAGTGGTTTAGGAGGAAGGCTCCAATATATTTAGAAATTAACTCCAAAGAAGTAAATCACCTGTATGATCCTGTTTTTCTGGCTAATAAGTCAGGACTAAATAAAACTAACCAATTTCATCCCCAAAATAATCAGGGATCCATATCCAAATACAGTCAAAAGATCTGCATCTGGATCTAAGAACCATACTCATTTTAGGTCTAGGGCAAGTTACTTAACTTCTTAGCCCCCATTTCCTCATCTGTAAAACAGAGATAAAATATTCTGTCCCCCTCATAAGATTATTTGGACCAAGCGGGAAATTAATATAAAAGTATTTTAAGTTCAAGTGCCATACCAACATTAAACACACTGACATTTAAAAGTCATTAAGCAAAGCATATTTCACATTTGACCCAATAAGATATTTTAACTTTTTATAAAAGATAGACATTTCAGATATAAAGCTTACCCTTAACTGACATCCAACTTTTTCATAAGCTTTGATGAGTCTATTTCTGTGATACATCATTATCCCATAATGGTCTTTATTTCTGCAGTTGAATCCAAAAGTAATTCTCACCGTTTTAGTCTTAAATGTTAAGGAAAATTCTGAACACACCACCTCACTCCCCCCAAATCATCCTTTCCAAGTCATTTTTTAATGAATCCAAAAGTGTAAAGAAAAAGGCAAAGTTGGAGAGGATTAGACTCCATATCAGGATAGGAGAAAGGAGGGAAGAGAAATACACTTTATAAATGTATCTTTATACAGCATCGTAAAAAGGAAAATAAAGGACACCCGGGTGGCTCAGTCAGTTAAGTGTCTGCCTTCAGCTCAGGTCATGATCCCAGAGTCCTGGGATCAAGTCCTACATTGGGCTCCTTGCTCAGCAGGGAACTGCTTCTCCCTCTGCCTGTCGCTCCTCCTGTTCGTGCCCTCCCTCCCTCCTTCCTCCCACCCCCGACAAATAAATAATCTTAAAAAAAAAAAAAAGGATACTAAAAATTTGGGTCGATAAACATCACGTTCGATGTAGGCAAGACTCTTTGAAACCAGCTGTGTCTTCACTTTCTGTCCACGTAAGATGATCTGCATTCTTGGCTTTAGGTATAAAATACTACAGTAAGCCTGCAAAGACACACAACAATATCTGTCCTTTCCAAATAATTACCTACACATTTGTTCAACATTACTGATATGTGTATTTAAAAAGAAACCTACCACTTTGCTTTGATAAAGGACCCATGAACTCTTCAACAATATAGACTATAAAGCTTTTATTAGTATTTGATTGCTTTTCTTTAAAAATATACTCAATAGGGGCGCTTGGGTGGCTCAGTCGTTAAGCATCTGCCTTCGGCTCAGGTCATAGTCCCAGGGTCCTGGGATGGAGCCCCGCATCAAGCTCCCCGCTCAGTGGGAAGCCTGCTTCTCCCTCTCCCACTCCCCCTGCTTGTGTTCCCTCTCTTGCTATGTCTCTGTCAAATAAATAAAATCTTTA